AAATTTTGTTTCAACAAGTAAAAGGAAATGAAAGGAGATTTACCTGGTTAAAGACTTTACTGGCTAAGATTGAGAGGGAAAAAAGATCAGTTAATTAACCACCTTATCAATACAAAAAAAAGAGCAAAAGTTAGAGATTTTACCTTGTATAAAGTGAGAAAGAAAGAGAATAAGAGTGAAGAATGAGAGAATAACCTCATAAAAAGAGAAAAAATGAAGAAAACATATAAAAAAAAAAATTACAGAGGGGAAAAGAATGAGAGAGGAAGAAGAAACTTTTATTATAAAGTTTAGGATTTTGATCCTTTAATTGAGGCATTTTTTACCAATAAAATTCCTAACAAACAATTAAAAAATTATTAGTTTTTGCTTTTCTTTGGTAACTTTGTATGTTATAAAAAAGATTAAAATTTCAATTAAACCCAAAATTTTACAACCCCCCCCGAATATCACTGATGAAATTTCAATATATAAGTGATTCTGTCTATAATAGCTATTGACACAAGAGGATAATGTTTTTCAATTCTTTAAAATATATCAATGAACTTAAACCATCGGTGATACAATTTGTATGTTCTAGTGGAATTGAACTGTAATTTTTTCCAACTCTCTAGAATATATATCTTTAAAGAAATATGTAATCTTTATTAATGCATTTCATATCTTTTTTGACAATAAATCTAAGTAAGCAAGTGGAATACATGTTTATACAAATATGTGACAATCATGGCTTTGTAATACATATAATATATAATTCTTTAAATTTACCAATTTAGATATGTTCAAAGCATGTACATCAGGCAAAGATAGACTTTTAAGCCAGTGGTAAACAGGTAATTGTGCATTATTGTATAAGATGAAACTAGTTTTGGACTTTATAATTTTTGATCCATTATAAACCAACTCTATATTTTTATGGTGACAAATCAAAGGTATATCTATTAAATCTTTTATGTTGACATTTACCTTACTTTTCATATCTATAACCATGTTAAGAATGTTTTCAAATACATTTTTTCAATATGAATGATATCAAGATTATGGCGGAAGATATTAGTCTTCCAATAAAAAAGTTCCTAGAAAATGCTTTGTTTTACCCAATCATAAGTTACACCAAAATCAGAAAATTTTTACTTATCAAATTAAAAATTAAACACAATATCATCGTACTATGATATTACATCATACAATTTTTCACTTGATAATACTAATAGTGGAACATTCTCTTCAACTCTACTAATAAAGAAGTCATTTTTGTTCTTTCATAACTTGTGATCTAATGACAACAACTATTATTGGCAATAAAAAAAGATATTTTACCATTATTTGTTAAGGTAAAAGCCTTGTTATTTTCTATATAACATGAACATACTAATTTTTTATACATACTCTAACTAGAAATCATTTCACACGCAGAAAAATCAATGATAGTTCATATCAAAACTGATTTTATTAAAAATTATATTTTCTCAAAACATTATAAGTTAAAATCATAAATGACCACAACTGCTTCAACTTATCATTCAATGGTTGAAGACAAATATCTATATACTGACCCAGACTATTAAAATTGGGTATGATGGTAGATAAAAACATGAACTCCAACTAAAGGTAGAGTAAAAAAAATAAAATAAGGGGAGTTAAATTAAAGGAGGGGCTAGGAAAAATTTCCTTGGAGCAGCCGAGGCCCCTGCTAACCCCCCTCCCTCTGCCACTAACTCCAACCTTATACACATCCTCGATAGAAAGTTGTAAACTGTAAGTATCACTGGGCAGAAAAAATAAGAAACAACAAATGACTCAAATAAATTGAGTCCATCTATACATAACCCAAAATGTATATTTCTTGATTTCATTTAAAATTGAGGATGCACCTTATTAAAATATTTCAGGTTTTGCCATCAGAAGGATGCATTATGACTCCATCAACTCCATCATATAAATAATGTCATGTCACGTGTTTAATAATATTTAGTGACAAAAACAACATTTTCAATGTATTGAAAAAAAAACATTATGAGAAGTATATAAATTTTCTATATGTAATAATAGTTCTTCTTCTACCAGTTCTAAGTTTGTAACGAGCATACCCACATGTTATATTCTTGGTTAAATATGCATTTTTAAGGTAGTACAACACATAGAAGTTTGAACATATATCAATTTTCTAGTACACTAGGTTTAGGGATTCATCATAGATTTATCAGTATGGAAGTTCTTTTTCAGTTTATTCCCTTCATGTAACATGCTTCATGTCCATTCAATAACTTTATCGTAATTAGTCTCAATTAGCCTATCATTTAATTTGATAGTAAACACTTGTGAAATAACCTATAATTTACTATGATTTATGCATTCATTCCATAATAGTGAATTATACTTTTTTAAAAGATCAAAAGACATAAGTATATTTACATTTGATTCTTAATCTATAATTAAATATTTACCTGCATAACCCTAATTTATTCTCATTACATTCGTAGCGATATTTTTATAAGGATTATTATTATCATTTATAATTCCATACATTTTACTAGAATTAAAAATTGATCCAATTGTTCTTTTTATTATAGTTTCATAAGAAATATATGGTTCATCATACTTTAATAATATGATTTTGGATGTTAGTATCTTTTTATATATTTACTAATTTTTTGGTAATGATTGCACAATAGTGATATGAAAACAAAAAAACAAAATTTGACATAAATGTAATTAATAAATAATTTACTAAAAACTGGATGGTTGTATATTTGAGAAAAATATTACGCCTTTATTATCAATGCTCATCTCTGGACATTCCATTATGCCTTTATTACACAAAATTAGGATGCTTGTTCGAGTAAGGTTTGAATAGACATAGATCTATGATACGTTTCTAAGAAGTTAGGAATAAGATTTGAACCTATTTCCATTTTTAATGAATTTTCTTCTAAACAATTAATTTTTGTTTGGAAGTATGATAATTGATGATTTTTTAGTTTATGTTTTCAATTTATGATTTTGACATGATAAAAAAACTATTTTTTTTAAATATTATATAAAAAATATAATTTTAATATATTTTAAAATTCTTTAACAATTTTTCCACCCCCTAGAGGTATAGGATGATTAAAGGAGTTAAAATGGATCTTATATAATTCCAAAACAAACCCTGATAGTTCTAATAAAATTGTTATTAAATAAAATAAATTTATACATACAGGTATCTACTAGCCTTTTTATGGTTTTGAATATTTTTTTGGAATTATAGTTGTCATTATTTTTTAAAGTATTTGTTACTTGAAAAAACATTAAAATAATATTTTTTATTTTTAAAAAAATTAATTTTAATATAAACATATCAAAATGATCTAAAACACAAAAAAATATATTAATTTCAAGTAAATAAAAAAATAAAAATAAAAATTTATTTAAAAAATAATTTTAAAATGCATAGAAAATTACCATAATAAACAAAACAAATCATATTATGGTGAAAGTCAAGTCATTTGTAATTGTTTTAGTTGAGTCCAAAAAAAAACATTGTATAGCCTGTTGTTTTTTTTATAGCTAATAAGAATAAAAATATTATTTCACTTGGCTTCATAAAGGTGATTAGAATCTCAAATATTGCATTTTTATATATTGAGATATGATTATCTAAATGATATTAATAAAAGAATAATTAAATGTAGTGTTCATCCCTAAAAATCTTGCCGAAATGATTAATTATAGAATAAATTTTATTTTTGTCTTTATTTAAATTTCACTTCGATCTTAATAGTTTAAAATTCAACAGTATCATCCTTCCAACATTAAGAAAGTCCTAATATTATCCCTTTTTCTGTGTTTTTTATGGAAAATTTGTTACACCCGTGAGAAAAAAAAAACAAAGATGGCATGACAATTAATAGCATTTTAATCAACTACAATTTTTCATCTCTGGGATTGATATTTCTAAGTGCATCTAAAATTGTTAGGTTTAATACTTCATTACTATGGTTTTTATTAGTGATTTTTTTGGGTACTATATATGAGGAGATTTCTAACTTTCTTTTCTCTTTTATGTTTGCATTTATTTTTGTGTTAATTAATATATATATTAACACAAAAATAAATATGAATATAAAAGAAAAAAATTAGAATTTTTCTCAATTAATTTATATTATTTTTTTTATTTTAACCTAAATATAAAATATATATATATATAGGTTTATATAGATTAAGCTGAAAATATTATTTTATTCTTAATAAATAAAAACAATATATATATATATAGAGAGAGAGGTTTGCTTAATCTATTAAATATATCATTTGATTTAGTAGATTGATTACTGTAAAAAATTTAATTTTTTATTATTTGAAATTGTATAATAATAAAGTTAAATTATAATAAATTGGCCGAGATTTAATCTCCAAGCAAAAAATAATTTAAAACTTGATTTCTATCTCCAAGTAATTTTTTTTGAAGTTAACTTTATAATCATACTAGAAGTTAACTCATCTTAATCTAATTAGAAATTAAATTCTAATAAAGTCAAAAAAACAAAACAAAGAAATCAACAATTTCAGGAGTTAAAGCTGTGTAATATATGCTCAAAGTAAAATTCTATCTCAATTCTATTAGTTACTTGTTGCTTATGAAAATTGATTTTAACACCATACAACTTATGATTTCTTTTAATTAAATATTCATTTTTTAGAAATTAAACCAATAAATAGAAGTGATGCCCAAAATACTCTACAACAAAAAATATACTATGAAAAATCGCTTTTGACCCCTTTTCTTAAAAAAGAAAACAGCATCAAATGCTATGTCCTATGGGCCAGTTTTTTCACAAGGCTTGGAAAAGCCTGGCCCATACAAATAACCCAAGAGAAGAAATCAGATTATTAGGAAAAACTAAAAAAGAGAAAAGCCCAACCCAAATTAGTCCCAATAAGAATAAAAGAAAACTCCAAGGACTTTCAAGCAAATAAAAATGATATTGACTCTACTAAAACCCTGGCCACCCCCCTCATATAAAGTCTCCTCTTTGAGCCACTCTCTGTCGTCCTCCGCAACGCCGCAAGCGAGCTCGGCCATATCAGCCTTTTTTAGCATCCTTCGGCTTCTAAACCTAAACTGCCTTCAGCCATGGTAAGTAAGATCTCTTTCACGTATTTAACTCTCTTCGTACCTTGTTTTTGTTGTTCTTGTTGATGTATATCTGCTTAGTAGGTCTGAAAACAAGGAGATTTGCTTTTGTTATCTGTTTTATTTTAAGAAAATAAACAAAGGGGAAGTGGGTTTTTGTTAACGTATCGTACTTTTGAATTTGCTTCTGTTTTATGTTGGGAAATTTGGGATTTTTCAGAAATAAGTTGATGCTGTAGAAGGTTTCTTTTTGATACTATCAGTCACTTGTCCTATGCTTTGTTTGATCGTTCTTGACTTTGATAGTATATGCGTTAGCTGATTGTTGTTTAGGGAAGTGGGGTTTGAGTCTATATTTGTTTTTCATATTTAGATTTTGCTTCTTTTTTGTGGGTTTTTGTTTTGATAGAATTTTGTTTATGTTTTGATAGTCAAAGAGAAGGACAAGAGAGCCAAAGGAAGAAAATGTCACTCTTGGCCCAACTGTCCGGGAGGGAGAGCATGTTTTCGGGGTGGCTCACATTTTTGCTTCATTCAATGACACATTCATTGTGAGCATTCTTTCATATTTTCCCAAATGAACTATCATGTCTGTCTTTTGATTAACGGGATCTTTGGGGTTTATCTGTAAGTAATTTAACTTGGTTGAAATAATTGCAGCATGTGACTGATTTGTCTGGGAGGGAAACCCTAGTTCGCATTACTGGTATGTGTTTTATACTGTCATAATTTTTTTAACAATTGCTTTTTCTTGGAATGGGGTCATGCTTGTAAAGTTTTCAAGCTTGCTTCTGCGCTATTTGTCTTTTTCTCTCTTGGTTTGCTGGCTCTTATTATTAAAATAGACTTGCGTGCTAAGTGTCTTGAATGTTTACATTATGTTTCTATGTTCTTATCCAACATGAGTATTTTGTTGTAGCGTGTAGTGGCTTGTTGATTTATTGGTGGCCTTTTGTTTGTTCAAAATACAATTTCATGGTGAATTCGTCATTTTGTTATCATATGATTGATTGTTCGGTATTGGAAGTAATCCCCCCCTTTATAAGTAGGTAGTTTGCTTTATTTTGGTTGTGCATTACTCATAGAACTGTTGCATTGGCACATGCCATCAGGCCATTGTTTCTGCTACTAGTGTAACTCTTTCTCCTTGATCTGCACGTGTACCAGGTGGAATGAAGGTTAAAGCTGACAGGGATGAATCCTCACCATATGCTGCTATGCTTGCTGCACAGGATGTTTCACAGAGATGCAAGGTCTTTGTTCTGTTTTATATTTGATACATTGATGTTTTTAAAATTCTTTTTTTTATTTTATAAGCTGTTTTTTTTATTCAGAAGTGGTTTCATTAACATTAACCTGGTTTCAAAACTAACAGGAACTTGGCATTACTGCTCTTCATATCAAGCTTCGCGCTACAGGAGGGAACAAAACTAAGACACCTGGGCCTGGTGCCCAGTCTGCTCTGAGGGCATTGGCTCGTTCTGGAATGAAAATTGGTCGCATTGGTAATTCATTAATTTGAAATAAAGTTTTAGAACCATTGATTGCAATTTTAGGAGTTTAATATGCACTTGTGTTCGTTACCTGGCATGGATGAACTGGTGTTGGTGATGCTTGTGGATTGAAGCTGCATTAGTTACTCTTTAGTTTCTTATGTTTCAAGAGCCTAACATTTTATATTTGTTATATGCCATGAATACTGTCTATTATTTATGCTGTGTTCAGTTGATGAGTATGAATAGCTGAACAGGCCATGTAGCAATTAAACCAGAGAAGCATTTGTTAGCCTGAATCTTCTTTCATTAGCATTGAGTTTGACGATTGCTTGTATGTTTTTCAGAGGATGTGACACCAATTCCAACAGACAGCACCCGCAGAAAGGGTGGCAGAAGGGGAAGAAGGCTGTAAGCTGTCTCTCATCAGAGAAATTCCATTTCGGTGGTGCTGCTGCTTTGATTGCTTGGTGATGGCACTTTTCAATTCAGGACGTTTTTGTAGCTTTTCTTATCCCATGGAAAATTGTTGACTTCCAATTGATATTTAAACTTACTAGAAACTTAACGATATGGAGTTTTGCTTGTGACTTTTATGCTCTGAATGAGGTGGTTCCTTTTATTGAAGCAATATTTTTGTTTAGTGATGCACTATTGCAAATAGTCATTTATTCTAAACGAGTTCGCAGCAGATTGTAGTCCCAAGTGATAGAAAACGGTATGGCTGAGTTTATATTTTGGTCATCGTTCACCATAAGCTTGCACGAAGCATTCCATATGAATCGGACACGCACCCTGTTGGGGTCACCTTTGTTGGAGTAATCTTCAGTTAGCCAAGCAGAAAATATTTCGTTTTAATCCTGGCGTGATGATGGTGCCTTGATCTGGTTGATTTGGATTCTACAGCTATCAGAGTTTTCCTGTTAGAAGGCTCAAATTTCAAAGATGTATTATGGAAAATAATTAGTACTATTATAAAACAAACGAACGAGCATGATTAAGCAAGAACAAATGAACTAACTGCGCCATCCTGCTTGTCAGGGCATTTCTTTAATACAAATCATACAAGATACACTAGTGTGGGAGGGAAGCAAAAGATAGCATAAGATCAATGGGCCGGAAATGGAAAACAAATATAAATAAACTTATTATGAAGTCTATCCTCAAGGCTTGGGTGCAAGTACAGCTTTTAGGTAGCGTTTGTTTGGTCACTTTTAGAAGATAGAAAATAATAAAGATAAAAATATATTTGATTCTATTAATGCTGGGTTAGGGGTCCTGTTTGCTGAAGTGACTGGTTCTATAAAGGATTTGCTGGGTAGGGAAGATGAACAGTATTTTTTTCCTTCAAATCTCATTGTAAAAAGAGATTAAAAGATTTTTTTTAGATCAACTGTTGATAAAGATTCTACATAATTTCCAGGTTTTAGAAACCGTGTTAAATTTAGAGGGTTTTCACAAGTTCTAAGAGATTGATCAACTGTAGGAATAATTAAAAGCTTCTCAAGGTAATGCCGAACAAAAACTAAAGAAAACTAAAAGCAAAGAAACAAAGAAAGAAACCAAGAATTAAAATCACTGAAAAAAACTAGGAAGAAGAGAAAATTCAAAGATAAATAGTCTGTTATTTTATCAAGTCATCGAAAACTCACAAATTATATATATATATATATATATATTAGAAAAAAATTGATTTTCCTGATTCTTTAAGCACAAGGTCACTTTCTATACAATGTTGACTTCAAGAACCCTGCCATTGCTATCTCTCTTTGTTTGGCAGTGCCAATTCCGGAACCGACTCAGATCCTACCACTGTCTTTGCCACTGGACTTGATGATGCTGTCCTCGCCAATGCCTTCAAAACTGATATGGCTACTATCCAAAAGATCAAGGCAGCCCTTGCATAAAAGGCTTGAACTAAAGTTCCCCTCCTCACCACCATCTGTTGAGATTGTTCTTCTGAGTGCATTTTTTTCTTTTCTAATGGCACGCCAAGACTACGATATTAATTATTTAGCTGAATGAATGCAGTTCTAATTAAAATGATTCATCTCATATTGCGCAAACTTGAGCTATTCTTTCATTGACCAAACATATATAATTTTGATGCTTGCTTCATTCAATTAGAACAAGATTACAACAAATAATAAATACAAAAAAGAATAACATAGAGAAACATGAGATAAAAACAAGTAAACAAAAGGGGCATCAATAAACAAGGATGAAAGCAGATTAGTTGAAGGATGACAAGTATAATCAACCGAAGATATTAAAAAGATTTCCAGCAGAATTTCCACTAGGAGAATTAACAGCTGCGCATCTTTTCCTGATCTCCCCATCTTTGTCAATCTTGACATCAACAGCTCCCAACTTAATCATGGCCCGACCAAATTGAAAGCTGAAGTCGTTGCTTCCAGCTATTCTTGCCACTGAGAATCTGGTGTTCGAATCCAGTGCCAGCTGCTGATCAACTTCGAGAATCCCATTACCTAAACGTATTTGCTCGTAGTAAGATTTGTCCACTGAAGAAGACTTGAGAGGATCCTGGTCCAGATTAGCTGAGTTGGTACTGCCAGAATTTTGTGGACAAAGAGTTTGTAGGGTTTTCAGTAGTGTTGTATTCATGGTTGGATCAGGGTGGCCAGTGCTCTTGAAGTCATAAAGACGATTTTGGAATAAACCACAATGTGCTACCCCGACACTGTGACCACCTCCTATACATCATCAGAAGAATCAAAAGACAAATTAGAAATGTGCTTGGAAATGTAATATCACATGTCGTTTCAAAGAGAATTAGGAATGGAAAAATGCATCACCACATACCAAGAAGATAAACCATGTCAATAGTGCTCAGTCTTTTGCTATTAAATGTTGCAATAGCTTGAGGAATTGGGATACTTGGAGATGGGAGTTTCACATTTTGAGCAGAAGATACACGACCATCTCTTCTTCCTGTTTGTACAGGGTACCATCCTGTCCTTGACTTCTTATCACTCTGCATGAGCACAAACATTTATCACTCAATTCTTTTGTTATCCTACTCTTTTGACCCCTCATTAAATTTTGTTAATGTGTGTTTACAGTTCAATTCTTTTGTTAAGAATGAGACGCATGCATTGATTCTGAAAGGGAATTGAAAAAGGTTCTGCACCTCGACAACAGCATCTCTGGTAGCCATTACTATAATATCAGCACAAGAGACGACTCCTGGGCATGTATTTTCAATTTCCGTCTTTATTTCCTCGATGAAATCGTAGCCCCTCACACTTAAATTTGGAGGTGCAGTTTTCTCACCATTTGGCACATCCAGTAATATAGATGCATCACATCCCTTTCAACACCCCCAAAAAAATGCATTAGATTGAGCATGTATTGAGCAATGAGTACTAAAACAAATTAACGTTGAAAGGGATTGTTAAACCTTCTTACATTGACAAAACAATCATGAAATTGCATGCGAAGAAGAGCAGCCACTATTGTTGTGTCTGTACTGAATCTTGCCTTTACTTTCTGCTTGACAATTTCCTCAACATTTCTCTGAAAACCATTTCTGTCCTTGCATTTTCCATTATAGAATCCAAACTGCAACTGACCACTGCATTGGCCAGCCAAGTTCACAAAGATGAGGCTAAGTGCTAGTGCCAATGCAGCAGCTACTCTTCGCATTTCCATTCTTTTCTTCTTTTTCGAACTACTAATATTTGATATGGAAATAAAGCACATTCTGCTTTCTATTTATAAGGAATTGATCAAGATGATAGAGATATGGAATCCTTGCATAACATGAGGTTGAAATGGTGTGCATGATCACTAGTCATTGTCATTAGACGTGCAGTCCTCTAAGGATATATGGTGCTGGTGCTGGTGCTGGCGCCAAACGCATGGAGATACGTAGCATTCCGAAAGTTATTCTAAAGAATTACAGCTAGCTGGCTGCCTTGCCCCGGAGATCTGGAGCTGATATGAAAGAAGAATACTATAATGGAGGAAATTGTTGCAGTGAATTATTGACCAATAATCTAATCTAATCTAATCATTTTTTTTCCTGAATAATATAATCTAATCCTGTTTGACTCAAAAACCATGCCAATCAAACGTTTTAAACCTTCATGTTTCCCTACGAGGAAAGCTGTTCTAATGACATGCGCATGTGGTTCACGAAAGCAATTATGTATCATGGTAATTAAAATATCCTAACTTGTCTAGGAAAATAATATAATCCCTTATTCTCGAGGTAAAATATGCTGTTGAAATTTTCTTAATTGCTAACAGTATATTTTATTACACTGCTGATAATCTTTTTACAAGTTAGTGGATAAATATTTTTTTGACTTTCTTCTACAAGAATATCCAGGTTTTTCTAATTTTCATATATAAATAAATAATACTTTTAGCCTCGAAAAGATAAAAGAAAGAAAATTTTGTTTTTAAAGGTATTTTGATATTTTTTTCCATGAGAATTTTGTGTAATTAAGAGGACTATATAAGTATTTTTTATTTTTTAATTAAAAAGTTATTGGAACATATTCCATACATCCCAGTGAGTAGACAACGCCTGCATCATTAAGGAGACTTGTGAAACGTTACTCGGTGGCCAAATTTGGCCAACTATCATATCACTAGATGCATAGTCGTGCCTTCTTCTATATTGAGCGGTGTATGTAGACATATCATGATTAAATTGTCGTCAGTGATTGATTGGTTATGTTTTTTTTTTATTTCTTTTCTCTTTTATAACAACTAAAATGTACTATTATCCTCTCTTTGTTTATTGTATGCTTGGGTCTGATAATCATGTTTGATGTTAGGCCTAGATGTGCAGGTCTAACACAACTGTCAAACTTAAAGTGCTTGGGTCTAGCAAAGCTATCAAACCTTTGCACTTGAGTCTGTCAGGCCTAATTGCCGTGAGTTTAACGTGTTGCCAAGCCTCGGTTAAGCAAGATGACAAACTCAACTAAACTTGGGTTAGGCATGATTGTCAGACCTAAGTAACACTTGAGTTTAAGTGTGATATGGTTGTTGTTGTTGTTGTTGTTGTTGTTGTTATTATTATTATTATTATTATTTTATCAAAATATAAAAATATATTAAGATAAAAAGTAACCATTATAGTAAACCATGAAGTTCATAGTATATATACAAAACAAAGAGTTTACGTAAAAAGTGCAGGCTCCCCAAATAACCATTATAGAAAACCAGGAAGTTTATAGTATGTACAAAATAAAGAGTTTACATAAAAAGTGCAGGCTCCCCAAATAACTAAAATGGATGTAGCCTAGCCAAGATTTGACTGGCCAAATCCCTAAACAAAAAAAATCATGACATAAACAAAAGCTAGGGGGAGAAGCTCCCTGCAGGGAAACTATGGTTAAATAAAAAACTAGCATGTAGTTGGTGGTGTTGAGCTTAACCCAAAAATATCATCTATAAAGAGAACTGACATATAAGCAACATAGAGTTATTGCATGGCTAGAAGATGACATAGAATACATTTGTATAAACAGATAAAGAAGTAGTATTGAAGAAGAAAACCACAGGAAGTAGCCCCTCAACACCCTCTCAACCAGCAATCAAAAGACCATAAACAAATAACCAGCAAGACTAGAGAACAATAGAAGATGCATAAAAACTAATACTTCAGC